GGCCTACTAAAAGTGACCACCAGAGAACATTGGAAAGTAGGGGATTATGTACAAATTTTTTTCCTTTGGACGGTTTGTATCCGGGTGTATCCTACCCCCCCCCCTTCTTTTCGCTAAACTAATATAATCTATACAGCCCAAAATTTAAATTTATTTAGCCCCGTACTTGGGGGTTTCTACCCCAACCCAATATGGTCTCGGATAATAGGGTTTAAGGGGTTGTGGGGTTTCGGGGGGGCCCACTTGGGGGGACCAGGGGGTGGTTTAGTTTTCTCAAATGTCTAAGGGGGGTGACTACGGTAAACAATTGATTGCCCCCCAATGAGTTTTCGGGTATGTATATAATGTTGGGTAATACAGGTAAGACCCTAAAAAATTTTTCCATATCTCCCCTTGGCCCTTCGAGAAGGGGTGCAATCAGTGAAAAAATTAATTAAAATTAATTACTTAATAATTAAGTAAATGATTGAAGGAAGTGGGTGTAGGGTCCCAAAATTTTAACCCGTTCGTGTGATGGTTTGCCCAATTAGCCCAATTAATTGCTAGAAAAATGTGTGGTGGGTTTACAAGATTTAAATTTGCAAAAAATTACTTTTTTAAGGCGCCCTACTTAAGTTGTAAAATCAGTGATTAATAATTCTCTAACCATGAGGGAAACTATGGAGTTAATGTGGTGAAAAAGTCCCTGAAATTTTTTAGTAAAAGAAAACATCATTTTCAGGATATTAAAAGCCATGTTTACGAAGGCATTTGATTTAGGGGAATAAAGAACCGTTTGAACCCTAATGAATTAAAAATTATATTTAGATGCTTTAGAGAGTAGATTTGATTGGTACAAAAATTGGGGGTTTTAAAACTGTGAAAGAGATCTTTCTAGAGAATTGTACAGATGGAATGGAAATGAATGTTTTTTTTAAATTTAAACAACATTAAAGGAAAAAGGAAGAAAAACTGTCTTGTTTTAAAAAATAGGCTTTGAATTTAAAATTTTTGGGTTTTTAAAACCAGGCAGGTTTATCAACCTATTAATCAAAAGGGGTTTTGTGTTTGCCAAAACCTCCTTGTACGGGGCTGGAGGAAATCGACAAAAGGGCGGCGGGAATTTTAAATTTTTCAAAATTTCAGCCAGTCAGCCAAAAAAGTTCTAAGGAAAATTAAAAACATTTAAAGACTCTGAATTATTTTGTTTAAGGGCTCAAAAGGGAAAAAAAAAAATTCCCCGTGGTAATAATTTTGTTAAGATTTTTAAAAAGGACTTTCAAGTCAGGAATCAGTAAAAGTGGTTCCTCCCCATCAAGGTAAGAGGAAAAGTACTTCAGTAAAATTAACCCAGTTAATAAGGGTCAGGCAAGGAAAAAAGAGACTGCTTTCTGCCGGGGGACTCCTTTTACTAAAAATTGTAAAAACCTGTTTAATTTTATGGGTTTTTAAAGGGAAAGAATGAAAGAACTTGAAAAGGGTTTTTCAGATGTTAGACAATCATTTAAAGTAAAGGTTTTTTCATCCCCCAAAATTTAACCCGTTTTCTATCAATGCAACAAGGGGAAAAACACCATACCGTTTGTGCGGGTTGTATGTGATTTTTAAAAATTTGGGGACAATAATGAAAAGTTTAAAAACCCGACACTACAGTGACTGTTTTAAAAGGGGCAGCCTAATGGCAATAAAAGATGGCCCAGTGAGGTAGCCTTTTCCGGTGTTTTGGGTGTAAAAAAAAAGGAAAAAAGGGCATAAATTTCCCAAAAACCCAAGGCGTCACTCTCCTCAAAATGGTAGGGCCATGTAATATATGGGAGACACCGCCCTTTGTAAAAATGAATAGAGGAAGTAGTGAATCGGTTTACCCCGGTTTTTACTCATGAAAGGGCAACCCGTACAAGTAAATTTTTCTTCGAGAATGATGTTGAAAACCCGTCTAAAATTTTTGGGAAAACTGGAAAAGATAGGGATTAAAGTAAAGAGGAAAAATCCAAATGGGTTTTCCCTTTTCTCAGGAAAAATACCTTTAAGGATGTTAAAAGTGAATTTGGACATTTTGGGGGGCGACTTCCGTGGGAAGCTTGACCCTCCCGAATTACCTACTAATTTTTTGGATGGCGTATGGGGCAGTTAAAGGGCCCGCTCTGCGAATGGCAAGACCCCCAAAAAATTTTGACGGGTTATAATTTATATAATTAAAAGCAGTTAAATAAAAATCGTTTTTTACTTCAGGCCCACGTTTAAATTTCACACCCTTAAATGCACAGGTGGTTTCCCCTGAGCGGGGTTTAAATTTGGGGAAAAAATCTTAGGGGGACAAATTTTCCGGGGGGTGCCCTTTAACTGAAGAGGAAATAATGGGATAAAGTGAAGGGGTTAATTTAAAATAAAGAAGAAATTTTGCTGGGTGACTTGGGATACTGAGAGATTTTTATTGTTAAAGTCTCAAAAATTCCAGTATGGCCCCAAAAAATTAATCCAGGGAGCATGGGGTTATGCCCCTGGGGAAAAATGGAACCCCTTTTTAGTCCATTTTGAGGGGTCAAAAATAGATGGCCATGGAGTTTGGGGCCGGGATGCGTTTAAAGTGCTGGGGCTGACTTGGGATATGAGAGATTGTTATTGGGGAAAGGTTTTCCCAAAAATTCCCGTATGCCCAAAAACTTAACCGGGAGCCCTGGTTATGCCCCTTTAGAGAAAGGAACCCCCAATTAGTCCATTTTGGGGGGTTTAATTAAAAAAAAAGATGGCCATGGAGTTGGGTGCCCATACGAAATAAAGTGCTGGGGGGACTTGGGGGTACTGAGGGGAATTGTTATTGGGAAAATCTCAAAATTCCAGTATGCCCCAAAAAATTTAAACCCCGGGAGCATGGCTTATGCCCCTGGGGGGAATGGAAAAAAACCAATTAGTCCCCTTTTTAGATTCAATAAAAATGGGTGGCCCGTGAAAATGGAAAAAAATTTTAATTTTTCCCCAAAAATTTTTGTAAGTGTTTTAGCAACGAAACCCCCGCCCGGGCCCCAAAATTTTTTGGGGAAATTTTTTTAAATTTTCCGAAAACTATGTGCCTAAAAGGTGTTTTTTAAAGTGCTATATGGGTCAAAAATTTTATTTGAAAATTTAAAGTAGAACCCAAAAGGGGTCCCTTTGCGCATGCGGGGGGATGTGCGGGGGGGAGTGGGGGGTTTGTTTTTAAGGTGGGAGGGAAGCGGAAAAAAGGGATGGACCACGAAATTGGGAATTTACGGCGGCCCAAGGATTAAAATAGGGCCCCATTTCGAATAGGGAAATGTCGTTGCCCGTTCCCAGTGGAGAGTGGGGGGAACGTGATTTACGGGACCAGATAATTTGGTGGTAAAAAAAAGGGGATTACGGGTAGGGGCCGGGGGGGGACTGACGCGTCGTTTCCGGGGCCGAGCCCGGGAAAAATTTCCCTTGGGTTTAATCATCACTCATCGGTCTTAGATCTTAATTGGGGTGATCTCTAAAGTTTTATAATTTAAATTTTTTTCATTAAATGGCTTGTGAATTGTAAAGTTTAATTAAGGATAAAAAAAGCTTTAAATTAAAGAAAATGTGAAATGAAATAAGTGTTTTTCTCCGAAGTGAAAAACGCTAGACCTTTGGGAAAAGGGACGGGGGGAAAGGGGAAAATCCTTGGGGTCCGGGCGTTTTAAAGAGGACCAAAAAACCCCGCGGAAACCGTTTCCCGTGGGAAAGAAAAATCGTGTCGGGTGTTGGGAAAGGGCATCGAAAATTGAGATGGTTTAATCAAGAAATGAGGAATTCAATCACCCAAAAGTTAAGTAACCCTTTTAGTTATAGCAAAATTAGATGGCCAGTGGTGGTAAGTTATTTAAATTTGATGGTTTGAGTTTATCCGTACAAACAACTGACCACCAGAGAAAAATCTTTTTTGGTTGTTAAGGTTTGTGGGATTTATGAAAAAAAATGTTTTCCTTGGGATGTTACCCAGGTGTTTCCCCACCCCCCCCTCCCCAAAAAACCCCCTTTCCGGTAAACCTTTAAATAATCTAAATTAAAAAGTCCCCCCCAAATTAATTTAAAACCCCCCCTACTTGTGGGGGCTTTCCAAAACCATATGGTCTCGGATAGATATGGATAAGATTGTGAGGGCGAGGGGGGCCCACTTGGTGCGCCAGGGGTGGTTTTAAATTTTTTCAATGTCTACCGGGGTGACTACGGTAAACAAAATGATTGTCTCCCAAAAGAGATTACGGTATGTTTAAATGTTGAGGGTACTTTAAAAGGGAAGCCCCAGAAATTTTCCATAAATCCCTCCCGTTCATGCCCTTTGTGAAATTTAGGAACGAGCCTTCACCTTTTCCGCCTGACTTACTTTTTGGTTTTGCATTTTTACCCTTAATCTCACCCAAAAAAGTACTGGGAATGTTACAGCCCCCTTTTTCTCATTGGCTTACAAGCTACATGCTAAAAGAGTCCTTTTCGCTTTAGCATTAATTAGGGGATTTATAATAGGATATAAAATTAAAAAATTCTTTAAAAAATTTAATTATTATTCTTTTTTTCTGTACTAAAATTTTCCAAACATCCCAAATGCCAGAAAAACACGATTTTTAAAATTTCCCAAAAACAATTATAATTAAAAAAAAAACATTTAAGTCCCCCTTTTTGAGGCATGTGCTTTGATTGGGTTTTTAGATGTTAAGACGTTAGTGATTTAAGGAAAACAAGTTTCGAAACGTGCTTTTGTAACCAAAGTTTTGTTTTCCACCCGTTTTTTATTAAAGTCGGCCCGTATACCGGGGTATCCAAGAGGGTGAAATATTTTGATCAAGAGGTTTTATTTTCTTATGAAGAAGCCATGAAATCATTCGAATAAAAAGAGTGGGTAACAAAAAACCCCCGTGGGATGGTGAGCCCCATCCCAAGGGGGGTAAGGTCAGGACTAATGTCTGTCTGTCGCATGTCGTGGGGTTTATTTAAATCCCAAAACTTATGCCCGGGATAAAAATTGGGGGGAAGGGTGTTAAGGTTTAAGATTTATTTCTGGCATAGGTCATTTTGAAACTTACATCAGGCATGGGTCCAGGGGGTCCAGGTTGTCCAGGGGTTCCGGGACTGCCTGGCGTGCCAGTGGGGCCCCGGTCTCCTGGTGGTCCAGAGGGGCCCTCCGCGCCAGTGGTGGAGGCGCCATAACCGGTATCCGGAGCTGTCTGTTGGAGGGAGGCAAAGTTGTTAGTTGAGGAGAACTTCAAGAGCAGGAGGAGGAGGAAATTGAGTGATGGAATGAAGGGAAAGTAGTTAAAAGACAAACGAAACTTGCTGTAAAATGGAGAAACTCTTGATAAAATTGAGGGAACTAATGAGAGAACGGAGGAAACTCATGACAAAACTGAGGGAACTAATGTCAAAAAGTAGGGAACGTGTTATAAAAATGTAGGAAAAGTAGCTTCATTGTAAAACAAAAAGCTTATGCTCACATTTCAAAAATCCAAAACACGGTAACAAGTTGAAAACTCGGTATCTCTAACTTGATATATTAATGATCAACTCCAATCCAGTATATGAAAAGCCAATCCATTTCTTAAGATATAGAAATAGCTCTCCATCTCCCATATCTCTCCAAGCTCCAGTTGCGGGGCATCATATGACCACAGACCTGACAAACCTGACCTAACCTAACCCTCCCTGTTCAACTAAGATATCTCCACCCATATTTACATTAATGTGCAGTTCTTTGAATAAACACATACTGAATATAGTAAAGTGATTTACATTAAATTCAGTAGAGTGTTGGGTGTGTGATTAAGGTATTTCTGAAAGATTTATAATTTAACAGGAAACACGAGAGGGAACTTACCGGCCCAACAATGTCTGTTGGTGGTTCTT